CTGTAAGACTTCCACATGGCAGGGGACAGCGTCAGGTAGCTGCTGGCCGCGTACTTGTTGTTGCTCTGTTTCAAGGGCTTGGTGATCTCCACGCCCTGGGTGATGGGGGTGCCGTTTGCCTTCCAGACCACTGTCAAGTTGCTGGGGTAGAAGTCACTGATGAGACACACCACTGTGGCCCTGTTGGTACTGAGCTCCTCAGAGGAGGGCGGGAACAGAGTGACTGAGGGCGCAGACTTGGGCCCACCTGTGTGGACAGCAGGAGAGTCCAGGGTGATGGGCAGTCCCTTACTCTACAGCCTCACGACTGTTCCCGCAGAGCCTGTGCCTGTTCACCCAGGGGACCCTCCTTTCTTTCCTTCCTTTCCTTTCCCCTCAGCCCCTGACAGCAGACAGCCCCTCACCCTCCCAGAAGCCCTTCCAAGTCACCTCTCCCGGGTGACCTGGTCACATGCTCCATCTGCAGCCTCAGTCTCCCCGTGTGTAAGCAGGGCAGGCTGTACTCCCTCCTCCTGGTCTGGAGTCTGAGTCTGGAATCCTGAGCCCCAGCCCGGCCTCAGCTCTTCCAGCCAAAGCCCGGGGGCTCCTCTGTGGCTCTGCCCTTGTCCCTGTCCCTACTGCCCTGACTGCAGGAACCCTCACCTCGGCTGTGTTCCTTGGGCTGCTCCCCCCAGAGGACAGGCACAGTGGCCTCCACAGCCACCCCAGCACCTCCGGGGTCTCTTGATTTTACGGAACAACCGTGTAGCTCTGAGCCCCCCATTCACTTCCCCGTTTGTCGTCTCCTGAGCCCAATGCTACCTTTGAGGGAGGCGGGAAGCCAACCCTTGGAACAGGTGAGACCCTGGGTCCCAGGGATTATGGCGACCCAGGGCCAGATGAGCCTCTGCCCCATGGGAACTGCTCCTTTCTGACCACCGTCCAGGGAGCACCAGGCTTCCGGCCACCTCGCCCATTTCACCTGTGGCTCTGTGTCCTCAAGGCCCAGCAGAGGCCCCGAGAGCGCCAGCCTAGAGGGAGCTGGACCTGTCTCTCTGCCCTCCATGAGCCTCCTCTTGAGCTGCCCTTCTGTGTCCCTGGAGAGAAGGGTCACAGTCCCACACTTGTCCCCAGCCTCCTGTGTGGCTCCTCCACCCTGGATGGGCATTGAGCCCTCAGCCTAGACCTTGGGATTCAAGGACTGTCTCAAAGGCCACTCCAGTGCCCCTTGTCAGAACCTCAGGCCTCCATGTGGGCATCTGCCCTATGAGAGGGAGAGGGGCCCCTGTTCCTGGGTCAAACCTTCAGCCCAGGCCCTGGGATCTGCCACATCTAACTGTCAGACTCCAGCGGTGGCTGCTCCTGCTTTTGGGTCCTTCTTGCTGGTTACCCTGAGACTAACCCCACACCCAGGTCCCACAAAGGAAGGTGGGAGTTAGTCCTAAAGGCTGGGAGGGCAGAGGGGAAGCACCCCCAGACAGACAGAAATGACTTTCCTGAGACAGCAGAGGGGAACGGTGGTGAAAGGTACTTACCTGTGACAGTGAGCTGGGTCCCTTCGCTGAAGATATACCATAGTGGCTGAACGTCAGACCAAAACCCACCGGGCCAGCACCTGGGGCCTGTCCCTCGGGGGCCAGGTCGCAGTGGGAACCTGGTGGGCATGATGGGCACAGGGCTGTAGCAGGCGGTGCTGCATCTTGGGGCTGGGCAGGTGGGTGGCCAGCCCCCAAGAGAGGCCAGGGCAGCCCTGGGTGGACTCACAGCCCAGAGGTGGCCCAACACCCAGCCTCCTGTCTGAGGCAGGTGACACCCACACCTTGGAGTCACCCAGTGTGTGTGCCCCCTCTCCGAGGCTGTCCTTGTCACCACTGAATCCTCAGGGCTGATAGTGACACTGCACACAGTAGGTGCTTGGCAAATCCATGAGTGCCTTGTCCTCTGGTGTGGCGTGGTAAAGTGAGTCCTGAGCTGGCTCAGACCTGCTCGACCTTTCAGGCCTCATCTTCGGGCCTCTGAGTGTTCCTCCCACAGTCCAGCTGGCAGGCGTCCTCCCTGGGCCCATGGACACGGAGTCATTCCTGACTCACAGTGCTCCCCCTTTGAATCAAGACACAATTCAGTTCACCTCTTTCCTGAAGACTTCTCTGATCTCTCAGACCACTGGCTTTCTGTCCATCTGCCTGTTCATCTGTCCATCCAGCCATCGTCTGTCCATCCAACCATTATCTATCGATCATCCATCCATCCATCCATCCACACATCTATCCATCAGCAACAGCTCCCAAGCTCCTGTCTATGCCAGGCACTGTTCTATGTGCTGGGACATGGGAAGGTGCCCCTGGCTCTCACCCCTGTCTCTCCCTGAAACCTCTCAGGTCAAGGCCAAGAAGGCCCTTGTCCCAGTCAAGTCCAAGATCCCTCCCCAGTTCCCTTTGTACTTTATGTCCCTGCAGGATGCAACACAGGGTCGATCGTTTTTTCCAGTGATTCTTTTACCCTGGGCATCTGAGACCCTCTACTCTCTTCCTCCTCTGGCTTCCCTTTCTCCTCAGCCCATGTATGGCTGCTGACTCCCAGACCATTACCCTGGTCCTTCTTTGCCATCTTCTCACATTGTGGACTCCCCCTACTGCCCATATAGTTAGGCTTGAGTCTATCTCAGCTTCAAACCCTCTCCTTAGCTCCACCTAAATTGCCTACTGACCATCTCTAGCTGGATGCCCAACAGGAATCTCAAACTCTCCTTGTCCACATGAGACTGACCATCTTTCTCCCAACCCAGCTCTTCTTTTGTCTTCATCTCAACACATCCGACTATGAGTTGGAAACCTGTGTTTAGATTCCGCATCTAAATATTCCTTTTAAAAGTTAAAACAAGGCTCAAAATAATTAAGAAACAACAAAACCACCCCCTGAGACTCCCAAACCACAAGAAGCCCCAGGTTTTGTTTTTGCTGATTTTAATTTCCAACTCATTCAAGGATGCAGCACTGAGTTGGGGCTTTTTGGATGCAAGCATCTTGCCAGAGGGTTGGGCCAGTGTGTTCCCATCTTAGAAACTAGTCCAGTAAGCTGTGGTTGGTTTTGTGATGCAAATATAAGATTTCTTTTGCTTTAAATTTTTAAAATCGTTTTAAAATTATAAGAATATCGCACATATAACACAATTGAGCAATGCAGAAGTGTATTTAAAAAGTGTAATATTTATCTCTCCATCTCTCTCCGGCTATGTAGTGCCACTTCCTTTTTTATTTTACTGTGGTAAGATATACATAGCATAAAATTTACCACTTTAACTCCTTCTATCAAGCCAACATTACCCTAATACCAAAACCAGACAAAGACATTATAAGAAAAGAAAACTACAGACCAATATCTTTCATGAACATGTACGCAAAAATCCTCCATGAAATATTTGCAAATCAAATCCAATAAAATATTGAAAGAATTGTGCACTATGACAAGTGGGATTTATCCCAGGCATGCAAGGCTGGTTCAGCATTTGGAAATCAATTAATGTAATCCATTGCATCAACAGGCTAAAGAAGTAAAATCACACGATCCTGTCAATAGACGCAGAAAAAGCATTTGACACAATCCAACATCCATTCATGATGAAAACACTCAGTAAACTAGGGATAGAGGGAACTTCCTCAAGTTTCTAAAGAATATCAACAAAAAACGCTACAGCTAACATCACCTTAATGGTGAGAAACTTGAAGCTTTCCTGCCAAGGTCAGGAACAAGGTAAGGATGGCCCCTCTCACCACAGCCTTTCATATCATACTAGAAGCCTTAGCTAATGCAAAAAGACAAGAAAAGGAAACAAAAGGTATACATATTTGCAGGGAAGAAAGAAAACTGTCTTTTTTGGTAGATAATAAGACTGTCTTTGTAGAGAATCTAAAAGAATTGACAAAAAAACCCTCTTGAAACTAATAAGCAATTATAGCAGGTGCAAGATACATGGTTAATATACTTCAGTCACTTTTCTATATACTAGCAATGAACAAGTAGAATTTGAAATTAAAACACAATGTTATTACATTATCACCCCTAAAATGAAACACTTAGGAATAAATCTAACAAAATATTACAAGAGCTATATGAGGAAAATTACAAACTATGATGATAAATAAATGGAGGCATATTCCATGTTCATGGATAGAAAGACTCAATATTGTCAAAATGTCAGTTCTTCCCAACTTGATATTAGAGTCATACAATTCCAATCAAAATCCTAGCAAGAAATTTTGTGGATATTGATAAACTTATTCTAAAGTTTATATAGAAGGGCAAAAGACCCAGAATAGCGGAAACGATATTGAAGGAGAAGAGCAAAGTTGGGGGAGTGACTCTATGAGACTTCAAGCTACAGTAGTCAAAACAGTATGGTATTGGCATAAACACAGGCATATAGACCGACTGAATAGAACAGAGACCCCAGAAACAAACCCTCACAGATACAGTCACATGACTTTGGACAAGGATGCCAAGACCATTCAGTGGGGAAAGGATAGTCTTTTTAACAAATGGTGCTAGGAAAACTGTATATCCACATGCAAACGAATGAAGTTGGACCCTTACCTAACACTATATAAAAAAATTAACTCAAGATGGATAAAAGACATAAACGCCAGAGTTAAAACAACAAAACTCTTAGAAGAAAACAGGACAAAAACTTCACTACATTAGATTGGCAATAATCTTTTTGTTTTGACACCAAAGGCAGCGGAAATAAAAGAAAAACTAGACAAATTGGACTTCTTGAAAATTTTAAAATTTTGTGCATCAAAAGACAGTGTCCACAGAGTAAAAAGCAACCCATAGAATGGGAGAATATATTTGCAAATCATGCATGTGATAAGGGGTTAATATCCAGAATATATTGGGAACTTCTAAAACTCAGTGACAAAAAAAAACCCCAAACAACTCAATTCAAAAATAGGCAAAGAAATTGAATAGACTTTTTTCCAAAGAAGATGCACAAATGATAGATAAGCACATGAAAAGATTCTCAATATCACTAATCATTAGGAAAATGCAAATCAAAACCACAATGAGATACCACTTCACATTCATTGGGATGGCTACTATCAAACAAAAAGAAGACAAGTGTTGGCAAGGATGTGGAGAAATTGGAACACTTGTGTACTGTTGGTGACACTGTACAATGGTACAGATACTATTGAAAAAGAGCATAGAGGTTTCTCAAAAAAATTAAAAATAGAATTACCATATGACCCAGCAATTCCCTTTCTGGATATATCCTCAAAAGAACTGAAAACAGGGTAACACACAGCTATTTGTACACTCATGTTTACAGCAGCATTATTCACAATAGCTAAAACATGGAAGCAACCCAAGTGTCCATTGACCAATGCATAGATAAGCAAAATGTGTATATGTATACACAATGGAATTTTATTCAACTTTACAAAGGAAGGAAATTCTGCAATATGCTACAACATGGATGAACCTTGAGGACATTATGCTAAGTGAAATAAACCAGTCACAAAAAGACAAATACTGTATGATTCCACTTATATGAGGTACTTAGAGTAGTCAAAATCACAAGGACAAAGGGGCTGGCAGGGAGGGAGAATGGGGAGTCATTGTTTAATAGATACAGAGTTTCAGATTTACAAGATGAAAAGAGTTATGAAGATGGATGGTGGTGATGGGTATACAACAGTGTGAATGTATTTAGTATCACTGAATTTACTTAAAAAGGATTAAGATGGTAAATTTTATGCTATGTGTATTATAACACAATAAAAAAGAAAAGATAGGGGCCAGTCCAGTGGTGTAGTGGTTAAGTTTGCACGCTCTGCTTTGGTGGCCCAGGGTTTGCAGGTTCAGATCCCAGGTGTGGACCTAATACCACTTGTCAAGCCATGCTGTGGCGGCATCTCATATACAAAGTAGAGGAAGATTGGCAGCGACTATCTTCCTCAAGCAAAAAGAGCAAGACTGGTAATAGATGTTAGCTCGGGGCTAATCTTCCTCACAAAAACAGAAACAGAAAGATAATATTTAAAGAAAAAAGAAGGAATATATGGTCTTAAGGAAATATTGAAAAATAAAGAAAATCATAAAGAAGAAAGTTAAAGTTAAAATTATTTGTAAGTCCAGTACAGAGGGATAAATATTATTAATGGTTTTGGTATATTTTCTTCCAGGCTTTAAAAGAGCATATACAATTCTATTTTAAAACAAAGTTTATATGAGACTTCTTATTTTCTTATGTAAGTATTTAATGCTATAAATTCTCTTCTAGGTACTGCTTTAGCTGTGTCCCACCAATTTTGATATGTTGTGTTTTCTTTTTCATTGAATTCAATTATCCAAGTCTCCACCTTTAAGAAATTAGAAAAGTAATCAACTCAAACCCAAAGAGAGGAAACAATAAAGAGCAGAAATCAATGAAATGGAAAACAGAGAAAACAAATAAAACCAAAATCTGGTTCTTAAAAAATCAATAAAATTGATTAAACCTCTAACCATACTGACCAAGTAAAGAAGAGAGAAGACACAAAGTGCCAACATCAGGAACGGAAGAACATCGCTAAAGATCCTACAGTCATTAAAATGTTAATAAGGGAATACTGGGAACAACTCCATGCAAATACATGTCAGCACTTAGATGAAGTGGACCCATTCCTTGAAAGGCATGAGCTACCTAAGCTCACCTGTATCCATGTAAAATCTGAATTCAGAGTCAAAAGTCTTCTAACAAAGAACTCCAGGTCCAGATGGCTTCACCTGTGAATTCTATATTCTTCCTTAAAAATATTCAAGGATTAAATAAAACCAATTCTACACAATCTCTTCTGGAAAATATAAGGGAAAATTTTCCAAATACTTTTATGAAGGCAGCATTACTTTGATATGAAATGTAGATAAAGACGTTGTAAGCAAAGAAAACTTCAGATCAATATCCTTCATGAACATAGATGTAAAAATTGCTCTCAAAATACTAGCAAATCAAATTCAGCAATACATAAAAAGTCTAATACATATAATAAAGTGAGGTTTATCCTGGGAATGCAAGGTGGGTTCAATATTTGAAAATCAATCAATATAATCCACCACATTAACAGACTAAAGAGGAAACTGTAGTATCATTTCAATAGATGCAGAAATAGCATTTGACAAAATTCAACATCTATTCATCATAAAAACTCTCAGAAAACTAGGAGTCAGAGGAAACTTTCTTAAGCTGATAAAGAGCACCCTACAAAAAACCTACAACTGACATCACAGTGAATGGTGAAAGGACTGAATGCTTTCTCTCTGTGG